TTTTTGTATTATTTTACAGGAATGTTTAGGTGTACATAATGTCACTAAACCTGTATCTTCACTTTGTAATGGAATTCATTTTCTACTTCATCCAAAAGTTCTGTATGAAATCTCTGCATTTGGCATTCAAGAACCCAAAAGTGAGGTATGATATGTTAAAAATAAGTGCAAAAATTACTATAATTTGCATATTCAGCTAAATCAAGGTAATAGTCTAATATAACTGGGTAGTATGATGAGAAACTAAAAAGAAATTGTCTTTGATGTGTTGGTCAGTTAAGGTATTATTTAAATGAAAAGAAATGTTCAAGAAAATGTGGAAATGAAAATACAGGACATACTTAATTTCAAAGAATTCAGGTCAAACATTTTATATTTTTTGTCTAAGATGTAGGGAACTATACAGTACAAGTAGTTATAGTAAGCAGGTTATTTCAGTAAAGGAAATTTTTATTCAAGGGAAAAATATATATTATAGGTAAAAAAGTGGAAATCATTAAGGGAGAAAAACTGGTTGAGAATAGAATGTAAAATGATGCTATGAAAATATGAACATTTGAAGAAAGAGATGTTAATTATAGCTCCTTTCCAGATTTTATAAAATGTTACAGGTATGTCAGATGACCTACTGGGGCATCTCATTTTACTGGATTATTGGGTCTGTGTTGTTGAGCAGGTGAATGCTGCTGCCAAGGCCATTCTGTTGTATCTGCTTCAGGGACGATTGACGATGACAGCACTGACCTGGAACAAGTTTATTGAGTCTCTCTGTCCTGTCATTCCAGTATTACAGGTATTCTGTGCAGTTCACCTTTTACAATACCATTTATCTTTGGCTGAGTGTGATTGATTTAAAAGCCTGTAAACAGCAAAACTGTCATGTTGTGAGAGAAGTGAAAAGAAGCCATGAAGGCACTGTGGATAAGTGAACAGGAAGTGGGCGGCTGTCTTGTTTCTGGCAGAAGGTTAAGCAGGGATAGCTAATTTGTCTGTATGTACTTTATGTATCTAGGTGGGAGGTTAAAAAGTAAGGTGCAGGCACTTAGCGTTGTGAAAAATAGAACTCAACCTTATATAAAGGCTTTTAGGCAAAGCTAACTGTACTTTTTAAGCAGACCTTACATAACGGATTTGCCTCATTTTTCTATACGTGCATAAATATGTGGTTGGAGGGATGCCTTGATTAATATGCTCTTGGAAACAAAGCTTTTTTAGCAGTCCTTGTGGGCATTAAAGGAGGGAGGGAATTTTAGGTCCCTGCCTTCCTTGGATGAAAAGGTGAAGATAGGAAATGCCATCATAGGCACAATCCTCTTTTAGAAGAAAGGGCCCAAGCCTTGGACCTTGAGACTCACGTGGTCCTGTTGATAGCACTCTATCTTTCTACTATGGGGATGTGCTGAGAATCTGTGAGGTGCTTGGTCTAGGGGAGGCGCTACTGCTAGAATCTTCTAGAAAATAGAAAAATCCGCAAGTGTCAAGAGGGTTGGCATAGTTCCCTGAAGTTCTCCAGTATGTACTTTCTTTTAAATACAGTTTAATGTAGGCTTCTTACATCATATAGGTTATTTTGAAAAATGTTTATTTTATTTAGCTGAATTGAAAGAAATTTATGAGTTGCT